CTGCAAGAAGAATGGAGGCCCCTTAGAGACAGCAAACGTTATCCATCCAAGGGAGGTGGGAGGCTTTTACAAGTGGAAGAGATCTTCATCGGACTGGCTTCAACGTAAGTCCTAGTGAAAAGCACCTGCCTGGAATGCCCATCCCCTCCTCTCTACTAGAATGCCTCAGCCATTCTTTAAAATCCAACTGAAGTCCCCGCTGCCTAGGGAAGCCTTCCCTGACCAGTCCAGCCCACCCCACCCTTCTCTTACCATCCATTGGGTATTTAGCACAAACTGCCCTTTAATGGAGATTTTGTCCTGTGTCTGTGGCCTTTCCATCTAAGCGGTGAGCTCTTAAGGCCAGGCACCTTCCACTTGCTGGCCTCGGAGGCAGCAGACACCTGGCGGTGGTGGGTTGTATCAGCCCAGTCGGCAAGGCCAGGCTTCTCTGCTCAGCAAACGAGTCTGCCATTGTTTTCTTGGGTTAGTTTACTCATCCGTTGCACATGTAAATATTGAATGTTGACTCTTTGCCTGCCACCCATCTGGACGCTGGAGATGCAGTGTCTGATAAGGCTGGATCCCTGCCTTAGAGCAGCTTGCAGCAGTCCAGTGGAGAGACATATGCTACCACACCAAAACCAACCAGTTGCCATTGATTTGATCTCAATTTATGGCAACCCCATGTGTGTCAAAGTAGAACTGTGCTCCGTAGAGTTTTCAATGTCTGATTCTTCAGAAGTAGATCACCAGCCCTTTCTTCCAAGGCACCTCTGGGTGGATTCGAACTACCGACCTTTTGATTGGTAGCTGAGCACTTAACCATTTTCATTACCCAGGGACTCTATATTATCATAGAGTGGGATAAATGCAATTATTGAAATGCGGTGGTGGCTAACTTAGCAGCAGGGTGTTGGAAGACCTTACAGAGGATTTGATCCCTGAGCAGGTCTTCACAGAAGCTCAGAAACGCAGGCAGTTGGGAGAAAGAGCATTTGAGTGGAGAGGATGGCCTGTGCAAAGGAATGAAGGCATGAAGGGGTCCAGTGGGGCCCGATAAGGCCAGAAGCCACCATGTTTTCACTGTGTTCACAGACCAGCTGGTCCCAGAGAAGGTGGCTGCTAGGCTCCTTACCATGGACAGGGGAGGCCAGTGTCCTCTGCCCCTTGGGGCCTGCAGCGTCTCCTCCCAGCTTCCCTGCTGCTCCTTCCCAGATAGAATGAGATTGGCTCCTGTGACACCGATGTGCTTTCCTCCTTGTTAGAATCTTAATATTGCATGAATCACAAGTCCTGCTGCCCAGCCTGGAGGTCAGGGTCAGAGGTGTGAAATAAAACCACACACGGACCCTGACTGCCTCGGTCGGGGGGGCTGCTTAGGCCAACTGAAGAGGTTGCTTCCCTTTGTCACTGATAATGAGAATACCACCAAGTCTGTGTATCTAAACTCTTTCCTCAGAGAGCTTTAAGCACCTCGCAGACATCATGCAATCCTAGTAGCTTTAAGAGCGGCCCTTTCACCGAGCACTTTACAAGTATTGTTTCATTTGATCGTTAGAGGACTTTAAGATGTAGGGTTAAGTGACATGCGTGGGATCTCACAGCTCATCATGATAGAGCCAGAATCTGAGTCCCAGTCTGATTAGAAAGCCCAAGCACCACTTTCTAATGCCATCCTGAGCTTAAGGAATAATTCTGGCCTGAGGGAGCTGGGCGGGTTGATCCTCTGCCTTATGAGCCCCTGAATCTCCCCCAGGGCAAATCTCAGACACTCACCACACCTTTATCATGTGCCTACTATGTGCCAGGGACAGTGCTGAGGCCTGGGAAAGACACAAAGAGGCGTAGACTCAAAATTGCTTTGATTAGGGTAGCAATTCAGGATGAAAGGAAATGGGAAACATAGGACGGAAATGGGAGGATGGCAGGCACATTGTGGGGAATGGAACCAATGTCATGCAACACTTTGCGTACAAACTATTGAATGGGAAACTAATTTGCTATGTAAGCTCTCACCTAACGCACAAAGAAAAGAAAATTGCATTGATTAAAGGTAGGGCTGCACAGCCAATTAATGTAATTGCGTCAATAAGTGGTTTACTTGTAAAAAGTTGAATTGTAGATACATTTACAAAACATCAAAAAATTTTTAAGAAGAGTAGCTACTGAGGCCGCTTATATACGGCCAAACACCTCATGGGATTTGGTTTCTTGTTTTGGAGGTTTAGGGTCATGGTTTCATGGGACACCCCGGTTAATTGGCCTAATAACATGTTTAGTGCTTCTGTTCTACATCCTAGTTCAATGCATAGTGCCTGGGGTCTTAAAAGCTTGCAGGAGGCCATCCAAGGCATAACAATTGATCTCTATTTGCCTGGAGGAACAGAAGAAGAAGGAGAGTCAGGAATAGGAGGAGAAAATGGAATCTGTGGCTAATTGCCTCCATAAACAACTGCCTCCTTTGCCATGAGACCGGAAGAACTGGATGGTGCCCAGCTACATTACTCAACATTCTGATCAAAGATCCTATAGTAGAATCCTGATCAAAAGGGGGGAAATGCAGAACAGAATTTCAAATTCTCATGGAATCCAGATTTTCTGGAGCCATGGAGGCTGAATGAACCCCTGAAACAATGGCTCTGAGAGAATCTTTAAACCTTAAATGAAAAAATATCCCCTAAAGTCTTCTTAAAACCAAATAATAGTTTAGCTTAACTAATAAGGTATGTCTTCCTTGAGCAATATGCTCATTTAAGATCTGTCTATATGGGATCAAATTGACAAAAGCAACTTGAAAGATTAGATAGAAACCTTAGGGGGCAGCGAGTTATGTTAACAGGGGAGGAACAACTCAGAAAAGGAGGATGAGAATGGTTGCACAACTCGGAAATGTAATCAATGTCACTGAAATGTACATGTTGAAACTTGAATAGGTGTATGTTTTTACTGTGTATATTCTCAACCACAACAAAAACAAATTACATATAAAAGAAAAAAAAGGAGGCATAGGCCCAGTTATCGAGCAGCTCGCCACCCAGTGGTGAGGACCCTTGTAAGGTAATGCAAAACAGATTTGGCCTTTTGCCTTGGTTCCTGTGACGTAACCCCGGGAGTAATTGAGGTGCCTCTATCTGAAATCTCCAGGCCACACCTGAGGATTTCTGCTAACAAGTATGGGTTGGCCATACCTGAAAGGACTCACCTGATAGACCAATGTCCACTAACCTCAGGAGGCATGATTTAGCCTATCATGCATATGCAGTGAGGGTTCAGGCACGACTGTCTGATAAAAGCCCTGACCACGGAGGCTCATAGAGCTTCCTGGTTGGCAAAGGGAGGGTGATGTGAACCCTCGCAGACCTCGCCCATGCGTCTCTTCCTTGTAACAGTTCTGATTTGTATCCTTTTCCTATAATAAACCTATAATCAGAAGTATAGTACTTTCTGTGAGTTCCATGAGTCTCTCCAGTGAATTGTCATACTCAAGCGGTACAGGGAGCCAGCAGGTGAAGTGAGGGAACCTAGGGGAGCCCCCTGAGCTTGCAACTGGCATCCACCCTGAAGGGGTAGTGGGGAAACCTCAAATCAGTGGCCAGCAGTCAGACGTTTGGGGCGTTGTGTGACTCCCCAACACACAGCTGGCATCTGCCTGTTTGGGACAGTGTGTTTTAAAAGCTGCAAGATCTGCCTAGCTCTGGGTGGCTAGGGAAGAGGGAGAAAGGGCCGTGTGTGCGGCTGGGGTCAGAGATGATGGAGAAGTGGGAAAGTGGGGATTTGATTACTCCACACATTCTGATTCTTAGCCACAAAACCCTCTTCCCACTGCCACCCAAAACGTGCCCATCCTTTAATGTGACCTGTTGATCCTTCCGCACCACCCAGGCCAACACGAGTCTCCCCTCCTTCCAACCTCCTAATGCGCTTATTACCCCCAACTACAGTGCGTGTCGCTTTATTTCTGCTTTCTTTCACAAAGCAGACATTTGCACATTTATTATGTGGAAGACATCGGGGATACAGAAATTAATAGGATGTAATCTCTGCTCTCGGCGCCCATGACTGCTAACCAAAAGGTCAGCCGTCCCAACCCACCAGCGACTCCTTAGAAAGCCCCATGAGGCAGTTCTACTGTGTCGCACGGGGTTGCTGTGAGTCAGAATTGACCCAACGGCAACGGGTTTGGGTTTTTTTGTTTTTCTTTTTAAATCTCTGCTCTCATGAGGTGCAGCCTGAGAGAGGGAGACTGACACGTAAAGAACATACGGGCTGAAAGTTGACACCTTGGCCCCGTAATCACTCATCTCCACAAAGGCACCAACTTAGCCTTAGTCTCCCTCCATGAAGTAATGGGAGGGAGACTGGCCAAGATCAGTCTTCAGCACTGAGTTCCAGTCTGGGTGACATTGACTTAGTCATTCAGTTTCTTCATCTGTAAAGTAGGAATATTGCTATTCCTACCTGCCTATCTTATATAGTTCCAGCGATATGCTTTATTAAATGAAATTAAGTGCGTGAAAGCATTTCACAGGTTATGAAGTACTATACAAATAGTAGTTATTATTTTATTTCCCTTCCATCTCCTAGGAATGCCTAACATAAATCTGGGTACATAGTAGGTATTCAATAAATATCAGGTAATTTGAGTTAAATCGGTTTGAACACCCCATTTCCTCGCTTCTGGTAGTCCTGAGGGCTTTTGAGGCCATAGTGACCCCTCACACTAATAATACAGCCGCTGGCAAGACTGCTTTGAGGACCAAGTGAGAATGATGTGCAGGTATCTTGGAAGCCACAAACATTAACTGTACTCATTCTTGAGATACCACCTTGGTCCCCTGTCCACATCGTAGAGGGCTGGCAAGGTCGGCTGGGCCTGGGTGTGGCACCACAGGCTTGGGGCAGCCTCCCTCCAAGCTCTAGGTCCGTTCTCTTTAGGAATAAACTTTCACACCACTCTAGCTGCCTGTGTCCTCGATGGTGTGTCCATCCCTCATTAGCCCTTCCCCCTCTCATTTCAGCACCCCTACCCCACGGAGGATGAGAAGAGGCAGATTGCAGCCCAGACAAACCTCACCCTCCTTCAAGTAAATAACTGGTGAGTTAGCGTCACCTGCCCAAAGGCCCTCAGACCCTGGGGTCACTTGCTTGGCGGGAATAGCACGGCAGGGAGAAAAGACTAGCTTGCTCAGTCCTGCCTCAGGCCCAGCCCGGCTACCACCCTAGTCCTCCCATTTGGGCTAGAAGCAAAAAGCCAGAATCCACTTAAGCACCTGTAGCTTCATCTGCAGCTTCTCAGCACCCTCTGCTGGGGAATTGTGTCAGAAACATCGCTGGAAGCTTCTTCCTGAAGAGAAACCCAGCCCCACCTGCGCTGCAGAACAGACAAGACTGCCTGTATCAGTGGATTGGAGGGGCCGCCAAGGGTCATCTTCTCCACCCTCCCCCCATCGTGGGCTGAACTCACACTAAAACCTACTGCAAAGCTGGAGTGGGAGGAAGGATGAAGAGTTGGCCCTTCTGCCCCACAGGGATCTTGGCTGTCTGGCTGGACTGTCATAGAGAGAAAACTCAGAGAACCCAGTCAGACTCGATAGGAGGGGACCCGAGCATGGTGGCCCCTAATCTGAATCCTTGGCCCTCTGGAGGGAAGTCACAGGTTGACGCCTGCAGCTAAGCCTCTTCCCACCTCTGTTCAGTCCTGGGGGGTCTGGAGCAACATTCTGATCCCTCCCCACGTGTCCCTCCCTTGCTGCTTGGAGGTCATCGAGCTGATTCCATGAGCACCTAGTGCCCAGGGCTCCTCTCCCTCCTGGGCCTTGACACCCTAGGTCTGAACCCCAGTGTGGTCTAATGGATTAATAGATTGGCTTCTGAGAGTCTGCAAAGTTTAGCCCTCTCTGCACCCATCCCCGACCTCCCTGGCCCCCGTGCCCCTGCCCCACCATCACCGCCCAGATGGTGACTAACCAGATCTCCTCCACCTTTAACACGGGCAGGTTCATCAATGCCCGGAGACGCATTCTGCAGCCCATGCTTGATGCCAGCAACCCAGACCCTGCCCCCAAAGCCAAGAAGATCAAGTCGCAGCACCGACCCACCCAAAGATTCTGGCCCAACTCCATCGCTGCGGGGGTGCTGCAGCAGCAGGGTGGTGCCCCAGGTACAAACCCTGATGGTAAGAACTGGGGCTGAGTGTCTACTCACCTGAGCCCCAGCCCCAGCTCTGTCACAATAATCATCCCTGCCTGATCCCATCAAAGGATGTTCATGCACCTTCAAGAAGGGGATGTTTTTGTACGTTCTTTAACAAGCCAAAAGCGGCCTCCCAGGATGAGTGGGAGTGGGCGGTCATCTGAGTCAATGACTGCTCAGCAGGCCCCCTCCTTACTCCCACACTCGCCCCAAGTTCCTCTTCACCTTTCAGTGTCTGAACAGCTCTTCAAGAGCCAAGGGCATCTATAAATACCCAGGCAAGCAGCTGGCTTGTGAACGGAGGCCAGGGAGAGCTTTGTTTTCTCAGCTTCTGCATCACGCCCTCCATATATGCTTTTCTGATTGCCGATCGCCTGGTGCACAATGAATAATTCAATGAGCCAGACATTTTAGAGCTTGGCATGTGAAGACAGCTCTGTGTGGGAAGTGGGTGGAGGTGGTACATGTGCACGCATACATTCTCCTGTATTCTTCTAGCTGTGTACAGGTTTCTGTGTGATGGGTACTCGTCTTACATGGAGTAATGGAAATAAACAGATTAGGGACTAGACCAACTTGGGAGAGGACCAACTCTGTTATTCCAGAGACTCAGTTTCCTCCTCTTTGCAAAGAGGACAATAATACCCACCTTACAGGAGATTTGGAAAGTCCTGAGTGCTTAACACATTTACATAGAAGACGCTTGGTCAATAGTAGCTCGGATTGCTTCTGCTTCTGACGGGGCAGAGAGTGGCAGGGAATGCATGGATGGGAGACTCCATACCAGGGAACTGTTCAGCGTAGGTTTAGGCACCCTTAGAAACAAGGGCTCGCCACCCCTGGAGCCGTTCCATTCCAAAGCAGGCCAACACTGAGGTCCCTAGGCTTGAGGGGGCCCCTGCCGTCCTGACCTCTGCTCTTTTCTCCCATGTAGGCTCCATCAACTTGGACAACTTGCAGTCCCTGTCCTCAGACAATGCCACCATGGCCATGCAGCAGGCTATGATGGCTGCACACGATGACTCGTTGGATGGGACGGAAGAAGAGGACGAGGATGAGATGGAAGAGGAGGAGGAAGAGGAGCTGGAGGAGGAGGCCGACGAGCTGCAGACGACAAATGTCAGCGACCTGGGCTTGGAACACAGTGACTCTCTGGAGTAGTCAGGCAGCCCAGATGGCACTGATCACCGAGCAGGAGAGGAGTGTCGTCAGGAGGGCTTCAGGGTGGGGGGAGGGGGACGGGGCACGCAGCACCGGAGGAAGTTGGGTCCTAGCCTCCCACAATCAGCAGCTTGAAGAAACCCAGAGGAGACATCCTGCTCCTTCCCAAGCACCAAGCTTCAGTCAGTACCCCAGCCCTACTTCCCCAGAACTGTTGAGGACTCCATCTGTCGGGGCCAGCCAAGCAGCCTGTATGGAAAGGCAGGAGTGAGATCTGGACTCACCCAGTCCCTGAGGACAGAAGGCACCCATAGGCACCCCCACTGAAGGACCTGAGTTGTTTACAAGCCCTGCACTGTGAGGCAGACTGGTGCTGTTTGCAGAGTGAGCCCTTGCTAGAGGCAGAGCTAGGAAGAAAGGGGAAGACAAAGGGGACCTGGGTTCCACCCTCAGAAGCATTTCAGCTCCTTTGAGAGACATTCGAGGGCAGGAGGGAGCCTAAAAAAGCATAATCAATGGCCAGAGGGTGGGGATGGCCTGAAGGCATCAGATCTGACAGGTCTGAGTGGGACCTGGATTCCACAGGCTCCAGCTGATTCCTCCAAGGCCCCTGTTGCTGGGCACAGACAACCACGGGCATGGGAGAGAGGGATGGGAAGCAAGAGCCTCCTTCTCTCTCTCCTGGAAACGGGTGGCAAGCTGGTGAGCTCAGACTTTAGGGGGCTAAGAGGAGTCCCTTTATTTGCGATGGTTCCAGGACCCCAGGAGAACCTGGGTTGGGAGCCATATGAAGGTGACTCTCAGCACTCACAGAACTCGCCTCCCATAACAACAGGACAGTGGTGTCTCACCCAGGGTGTCCCAGCCCTCAGATGGAGCTCCTCAGCTGCTCAGCCCTCCACTGATCTCCAGAAAGGGTGGAGCCAGGTTAGCTTGAAGTCGTTCCACCCCTGAGGTCCCCCGTGTCTGTCCCTCTGCTCCCGGGCTGACTCCATCAGCCTGCAGCCTCCCTTCTTCATTCTATCCTTCAGAGAAGGCAGAAGAAACATTGGAAAGAAGTATCCAGCCCAATGCAAAGCCAGAGGTGGTAGAAGGTGCTACATCCCTCTTCCAATCATATCCCAAATGTGGAGGAGGGCCCAGAGAAATGGCACCCAAGAGCCACCTCGCTGTTCTACATGCCGCCATTGTACACACTACAGAAGGAACTGGGGCTCCCACCAGGAGGAGGCGTTCCATCCATCTGCCCTAACACATCTTCCCACCCAACTTCCGGCCCCCACACCCCCACCCCAGTCCCTCCCTCCACCGTGGCTGTGAATGGCAGGACTGATCACGTGTTTTCCATTGGGTTTAATTTAATGGACTTGCCGTTTCATCTGTAAATTGTGCTTTGGCCACCTCCTTCAGTGGCAGGATGTGAGTAGCTACCTGGCTTGACTTGAGGGGACCCTCAGGACCCTCTGGGGCTGCCCCTCCCCCACCGGGTTGGCTGGAGCAAAAGGATGGTCGCTCTCCTGAGCTCTCCCTGAAATGAATGTATTTCTCCCCAAAAGAGCTGATATTTAATGTTTTAATAGGGATTTTTGAGAAACAAATAACCTTATTTATAACCTGGGTGATCCAATCATTTTCTACTCCCTTTTGATGCCATAGGTAGAGGAAAGTCTAGGTTTTTGGGCGTGAGACTTTTGCAATGTGCAGTGGGATAAAATGCATTTCCTTTCCTGGTTCATTTTCTTTTTGCTTTAACACACAACACAAGCCTTCCCACTTACCACTTTGGACAGGCATCCCCCCAACACAGGCTCACCTGCGTACACGTGCCCACGTATCCTCCTCCCAGCCCCTCCCCCTGCCTAGTGTTATGCAACCTCTTTCTGATGTATCCACCAAACCAGTACTGAATGTGGCCGAGACGTTTTCAGTAAATCTTATTACCCACCATAAATCTGGTGCTCCATTCTCTTTTTCTGTGGCTGCTGTAGCGATCCCTGCTTCTTTAGTGGGACCAGAGAAAATCTGGAGACCTCAGGGTGCCCCTTGCTGAACTGACTACACAGAAGAGGACAAGACAGAGGGCTTCCTTGATGATCTCAGCTCACCTGTCCGTTAAGAAAGAAAGTCGAGTTTGGCACACTTGCTTTGTGTGTCTGTAGCTCTAAGACTGAGAGATACAGAAGACTAGACGAAGCTCTATGCTGCCCTCTCCTGACAATTGACCCCTATAGTAGGGGATAGCCCTAAATTGGAGCCCTGGTGGCGCAGTGGTTAAGAGCTTGCCTGCTAACCAAAGGGTCAGCAGTTCAAATCCACCAGCCGCTCCTTGGAAACCCAGTGGGGCAGTTCTACTGTGTCCTATAGGGTCTCTATGAGTCAGAACCACCTCGACAACACATAACAACAGCGAGTCCAAAATCTGGTCCTCTTGCACCATGCTGCACCTCCCTGAAAGGCCTTTGTTTTCCCATCTCCATCCTAGGTTCAGCGGGTTCTCATCATCCAAGCTTGTGTCACCACTGCCCCCACATCCCTCGCATGCCCACCCTTCCCTTCCCCCTTCCCTCAGGTGAAAGAGAAGGAGAGAAAGTCTTGACTGCCCCCATTTAATCCTGGAGCTGGTGTCCAGAGGGGAGCCTGCCCTTCGGGTCCCAGGGTTAAACACTATTCCCCTGGGGCAAGAAGAAATTCAGGAGCAGCTGAGGTCCCCAAATCAGTGAAAGGGAGGCTTTCTCGTTACCTTCCGATACTGGGCACTTTGCTGAGATTTCTCAGGCTTCCATGTTCAGAAGCAGGAGGGAGAGTTCTTTGTTTCTGTTTTTTAAATAATGTTTTATTTGTTTTTGGTGAAGGTGTACATAGCAGTTTAGGTTCCCATTCAGCAGTTTCTACACAAATTGTTCCGCGACATTGGATACATTCTTCACAATGCATGAACATTCTCATTATTTCCGTTCTGGTTGTTCTGTTTCCATTAATCTAGTTTCCCTGCCTCCTTACCTTCTCATCTTTGTTTTGAAGTAACTGTTGACCGTTTGGTCTCCTATAGGTGGTTTTTTAAAGAAGGATAGTACTTTGGGTGATAGTCATTATTTTTTTAGCCAATTTGTTTTTCAGCTACAAGATGACATCGGGGGTTAGTTTCAGGCCAAGATTTGAAGAATATCTCAGGGCAATAGTCTCGGGGAGTCCTCCAGTCTCAACTAGTCCAGTAGGTCTGATTGGGTTTTTTTTGTTTATTTGGTTTTTTTTAGGAATTTGAGGTTCTGTTCCACATCTTTATCCCATTCTATTAGGGTCCATCTATTGTGGCCCTAACATAGCAACAGCTGTGAGGATGGCACAGGGTTGCTGTGAGTCGGAACAGACTCAGCGGCACCTAACAACAACACCAACAACATTGTGGCCCTGATTAGAATAGTAGGTAGTAGTAGCTGGGCACCATCTAGTTCTTCTGGCTTCAGGGTAGATGAGGTCGTGGTTCGTGTAGACTATTTGTCCTGTGGACTAGCTTCTTCTTTGAGTCTTTGGTTTCCTCCTTTCTCTTTTGCTCCAGACAAGTAGAGACCAATAGTTGTATCTTAGATAGCTGCTCATAAGCTTTTAAGATCCCAGACACCAGTCACCAAACTAGGAGGTATAACTTTAAGAACTATATTAGGCCAATTAACCAAGATGTCTCACGAAACTAGAGAGTTCCTTGTTCACATTCACAAAGGTTGGAGAAGCTGCACTGACCTGTGGAAACCCTACAACCAGGCTGGAGACAGGGGCGGGGTGATTACAGAGACAAAATGAGCCTCTGATGGAGGCTCCTTGGGTCACTGCTTCCACAGAGCCCAAGCCCGTCCGTCAAACCTAGAGAGCTCCACAAAGGACAACAGAGTCCCCAGCCTCTAGGCAGACAGCGAAAGTCTCAGGGTTCACAAGAAGATGATACCTTAGAACCTCACCTCCTCCCACCAGGAAGACAATCTTCTAAAGCAGTGTTTGCCAAACAATATGTTAATGTTAAAAATAGGCTACCCCCCCAAAAAAAATCCCATGACTAAATTAGGACTGTGTATTATATTTTGCTAGTGGAGTTTCACAACTCACTGTAAACCAGACCATGGAGTCAGCTGTGACTCATGGGGACCCCATGTGTGTCAGAGTAGAGCTGCACTCCATAGGGTTTTCAGTGGTTGATTTTTTGGAAGTAGATCACCAAAACTTCCCTCCGAGGAATCTCTGGGTGGACTCGAACCTCCAACCTTTTGTTAGCAGCTGAGCATGTTAACCTTTGTACCACCCAGGGACTCTTCATAATGCACATTGGTATATTGAAGGGTCTGATAAGTCCTGCAGGAAAGAAACCTGTTTAACTTTGTTTAACCTGATGTTTCCCGAGTTTATTTGCCTTTTTTTTTTTTCCAAGTGATATCTTTTCAAGTTATACCAGTATTCCACAGAACACACTTTAGTGAACACTAGTCTACAGAAATTATTGAGTAGCCTGCCCCAGCCTCTCCCACCCCCGCCTATGTTTTTCTATCAAGTTCTGTCATCTCTCCAGCCACGCTGCCAACTGAACAGGGGTTTCCTACATCACTTGAGATGTGGGTGGTTGAATTTTGAGGAGGCACCAGCTTCCCTCTGTGCATGACCCAAATCCTTTCCAACCCAAGGACAGGATGTACCACAATCCCTGAGGAACTAGCGATATGGGGCAATAGGGCAGTGGTTGTGGATGGGGGCAGGGGATTTCCTTTGCCCCCAGGACAGAACTCTGATATCAGGGCCCTCGGAACGTTCAAACTGAGTTCTGCCTCCAACCGCCATTCCACCAGGGCAGACCTGATGGAGACCCCCACTCATGGGAGTGGGTGGCTGGAGCTAAACTTCTTTGGCCAAGGAGGCCCTCTGCTGCCTTGGACGTGGGCAGCTGCAGACAAGGGCAATGAATCTGCCCTACTGCAGCCGGCTTGGACTCATTCTTAATGAGTCATTCATTCCACATGTATTCATGGAGCATCGACTCTGTCCTAGGCACTGTGTGATTTATTTATTTATTTACTTTAAAGAACAGAAATTTATTTTCTCACAGTTCTGGAGGCTGAAAGTCCAAATCAGGGTCTCGGTCATGTTGATTCCTTTCTTATAAGTTGTTTGTTGTTGTTGTCACATGCCGTTGAGTCAGTTCGACTCATAGCTACCTACAGGACAGAGTAGAACTGCCCCGTAGGGTTTCCGAGGAGTGGCTGGTGGATTCGAACTGCCAACCTTTTGGTTAGCAGCTGAGCTCTTAACCATTGCACCACCACGGCTCCTTCTTATAGGTAGTTTCGGGCATTTCCTGGTTCCTTGGCTTGTAGACGATCCTCACATGGGGTCTGTCTTCCCCAGTGTGTATGTATCTCTGTGTCTAAGCGCTCTTTTTAGAGCTCA